AGTATGGCAGTGCTCAATGTCCAGTTTCTGTCTCCTAGTAATGATGATGAAACGACCGTCTCTAGGTAGTATCTTGCCAGTTTAATCACTGCTATAGCCGTCTTGAGACTTTTGTGTCGACACGAGGAGTTTTGTTGAGCCTGCTGCATTTGGTTTGCCCTCGGTCTGCCATCTCAGTCAAAACCTAGAAGCATTTCGTTTGGGCAGACCTGCTTGTGACATTTCAATATCGCCTAATTTCAATCTAAATTAGCATTTCTAACCATCAGACATCATAAATTTGAGTTGCTCACTATTTATTTCAGATATGATTGTTTACCTTGGTATGCATCACATGAGAATCACAAAAGAGCAAATCTAGATCATATGAAAATTCAAAATTTCAAGAAAAAAGCCAAAATCTGATTTCGTTGCGTTTTCAATCAAGTCTGTAAAAATGTTTGGTTGCCCTGTTAATACTTAATGAATTTAAACGTGGACTGTGTGGCGGCCAACCGGGGGAGGATTTGTTATTCATGCATAGTTTTGAACTTAGCACTTGTTTTAGAAATGTCCACATCGTCAAGCATGAAAGACGAAGACCAATCTTTAAATGGAGAAAATGCAATAAGTACGTTACAGTTCAAGAGTGAAGAAACAGATGACTTTATTAGCCGATCTGATCCTTTATACGATATTTCGCAGTACCTCACTCAGCTGTCTGGGTACATGCAGCAATTTACAGTCAAAGACCAGACAGGTATTCGTTTATTCCGTTTTTTCGATTTAATTAATTAATTCACGCATATTTTGAAATAACGAATCATGTATGATAGATGGCAGAGGTGTAATAAAGTTGTACAGGACATATAGCAGAAATGTTCGTCGGCCGAATTTTTTATGTCCTACTACTTCCCATCCGTTCAAGGCACAGACGAGGTCGTGTTGTACATTTTTTGAACAAAACCCCTATCTTAAATTTTGGTTTTTGTAAATCCATTTCACGGGTATGTTCATTGTTGACATCGTATTACGATAACATCCAAAATTTTCGCCGTGAGATGGGTCCTGGAAATCCATTAACGGTCGGTTACCGAACGTAGTTAAAACTTGCAGACATTTATAGCCTAATATACTTCAATTTTGATGCCTTACGCCATGTAACTACTGTATGATGGCATTCACTCAGAATCTCAGTATGATGCTGTTGCCTGAGAAGTGGTTCAGTAAGTATATTGATGAACAACTACAAGCCACTTTTTGTTGAAATGCTCGATGGCATATGTTGACTTAATTTGTTGCTGATAGTGATGTCACGAGCCGGTATTCATTTAATTCTTCTTATGCTTCTGTAAAACATCAAAAATAAGGGCTTGTACCTATAGGTACACAAATTCATATAGTTTTCACCTACTTATATGTTCATAAGCATTTAGGAGCAAACATGAAACGACAAACTGATGGAAAAGAAATATTCCAAAGTCAGATGATCCACATCAGGGGAACAGGGAAGGGGGGCTAATGCCATCTATTGAAAGAAATAACGCGCCCAGTCCCGTCTCTGATATGTGAAGCCAACTGGCACAACCGTTTCGCAGTTTATATTTGTAATCAATTCCTTGCCGACTTAGTTCAGTGAACGCGATTTTGGTGGCATTTGATCCTTAATGATTAATGCATGATTGGTGATGATATTACCTGATGGAAAACGGTAAATTTATTCTGTATTAAGATTAAATAATGCTTATTGATAATTTGCACTATACCTTTGAAAAGGGTCATCTTTAGGACAGTCTCGATTTATTAGAAGTATGTTATGCCTAGGCGCAAGGATAGCCATCACTCCCGTACTGTTTTAACACGAAAGTATAAAACTGCTTTTCATGCTGTCTCTAAATTTTAAATTGGGGGATATTTGATATATGGCCAACATCTGAACGGTACTAAGATCTAATAAATTTAAGTTAGTATCCTCCGCGTCACTTGGAAATAATTAAATGCAGAGAATCTGCTGTACTTACGTTGTCTCTCCATTCATGTTCGAAAACTGCTCATTCAGTTGAATTTATTATTAACTAAATAATTGTGTCGTTAGAGCGTTAGACAATAAGAATTACGGGTTCCGGCTTTCTTTAGGATACTAACCTTGCATCCTTCCGAAGTTGATAAACAGGCCACGATCACGATAAACAAGATCAACTTTGTGAGATAAACGACAAACCGATCTTGCCACGTAGCTGTAAACATTACCTTTTCATCATAGTTGATAATATAGAAACGGAGATCAGCGCCACACCATAAGTTACATGAAAAAGTTGTTAAGCTATTTGAATTCCTCATGAATTTCTCCGTAGTTCTACCTGCGTCTTTTGCTATCATAACGCAGAACAACAAGGATACACAGGAAGTATATATAAAGTAAAACCACTGTGACTTTAAATGCAAAAACTAAAAAAAAACTGTTCATCAAATGTCTCCTTTCATATTGTTTTCTGCCACAGTGATCAGTCTCCGGTGTTACTGTTCCACTTCGGCAATAAATAGCGGTCCCAGTGCCATTTTTCTTCACGGGGTCAGAAATACATTTTCTAACTGACATGTCAGTGTTTAGATAGTGTCTCGCTCTTTCGTTTTTGATTCGTGAGGCTGAGTATCCCATTGTGTACTGATCCTTCACTGCTGGAATAGCATCCTGCCCTCCTTTTGAGAGTGTCATCGTCTTGCCAGCATTACAAAAAGAGGGTCGACCAAGTACACAGGATTTGTGTAAATGGAAAGGTAAATGAAGTCAGACATCATGACTGTTTCGAACTTTCCTCTTTCCTTTTGTTTTGTCATGATTTGTTGTTTGTTTTGCTGCTAATAACCTCGTCCCATTTTTAGACGAGCTTCTTAACAGCTGCGCCATTGAATGTGCCGGAAAGGAAATCGAAATCCTGTCCCACCGCACGACGGCCAGAGCACTTATCAGCATCGTTTATCCTTTCCCTGAAATAAAGATGCGGTTGCTGCAGAACATCGTGAAACAGAAACAAGAGGGAGTTTTGACGCTGCTTATGAAAAGCTCGGCCGTACAGGCGATGAGGTTTCTTACAGAGACGTTCGCCACACTAGAAGAACCAATGGCCGAGGCGTCCAAGGCGGTGCTGTTGCAGTTTTGCGAATTGATCCTAAACCACTTCGATACTCTGTTTGCTGACAGGTGCGGCACCTTCTCGATTTCCGACTTTGGTAAAGCGCTGTGCAAGGCATCGCGTAAAAAGACCCCGATGGGTCATGGCATCTTCAAAACGAAACATCGTCAAGTGATGAGCTTGCAGTCTGATTTCAAAATCTCGGATCCAGAACGACTTTCCGCTTATAATGGTTTAGCCTGCAAGGTACTCGACTGGAAGGCAATAAAAAGTAACTTTTATTTATAGTATTTCGTATCATTGTTCATCGAGTTCATTCTAGCATGTTCGGAAGCTATGAGCAGGGTTGGCCTCTTTTTGGACTTCATCGCTCTAGATGAGCTGCAGGGCGGAGTCCACTTAAAGAATCTTGTCCACTCTATAATATCCGATAATAAACAGTACGTGTCTCTTCATAATACTATAGTCTTGTAGGTGCTGGCAAATGTTTCTTATCTAGGACTGTTTTCTTGTTCATGTGCAATCAGGTGGGTTCGAATATCTTCCAGCAGATCATCTACCACTGTTCAAAGAAAGACATGAAAAAGATCTTCGACCATTGCACGAAAGGTAACATGGCGACGCTTGCTACCGATCCTTATGGCAACTACTGTGCCCAAACATTCATGGAATGCAGTGAGGGCTGGTTGGAGGTAACTTTACTGTACTCATTTTTCCTGTCGTTCTGTTTAACGGTGTTGGTTGTTTGATTTTCAGGTACATGAGTTAGCCGACGATGTTTTTACCGTTTTCGACAAAGTGTGGTTTGAAGGTCGCTTCGGCGTGATTGCCAGGTTGTCACAGATCGTGATTGGCGATAAGGATTTGGAACGAAAATTTGTCAAGGTCGGTTGATTATCTGTGTGGCTAAAAGAAAAATTCTGATATTTCAGCATATGCTTTGTGTATTGAACTGTAACGCTGAGAAAGAAGACCGAAAGTACTTCTTGCACTGTCTGTTGAATATGTCCCCACTTTCTCAGAAGGTGAAAACGAATCCGGCGGTACAGTATTGATTATTGTAGAAATATTTTTGCAGAGCTGAAGTATGTCTCGTTCTTCAGGCCAGCGTGCAAGCATACGGCGTCGACATTGCGCTCAATATGATGAACTACAGTATTCGTAAAACCTTGACAAACAGTCTGCTTTTGATGAAGAACGATTTATTGGCTGCTATTGCTGCTGAACTCTTCGGATCCTACGTAATCCAGAGCGTGTTTCAGTCTACCTCGCTGCCCGGCGAGTATAAGTCGAAGGTGTTTCAGAAGCTGAACGTAAGAATACCGTATTATGAAATACTTTACAAAATCGTTTTATGCAAATGAATAATTTCAAAACCGTTGGATAATAGCCTCTGAGCCTGATGGACCGTTTATTCGTTTAGAGAATTAA